TGTAAGCATAAACACACGCATAATTATGTTTTTATTCAATTAGGATCGAACATAGACCATTAAAATGTTCCCCATTAAGCTCACAGATTATTGACAGTTGGTTTGTTTCATGATCGAATAGAGAAAGGCCATTAGAAAGGATTGAAACATTAGATACAACCATCAACTTAGTGGTAAATATAGTATATGAATTTTTCATATAGGTAAATAAATAGTTAGATAGGTAGATACATAGATAGATCAGGGAAATATTCGTCATGAATACAACAAAAAATAAATTTGGCGGTTGCTTACCAACAAAGTTAAAACACAGTCAGTAAAGGAGAATCAAACAGGGCAGTTAAAGACACTGCATATTTCATCTATCCAATATAATCATTAAAATGGCTACCACAAACGAAATAACGTGAATACTAGGGAGTTGCATGTGTCATCTTAGTCAGGCTGTAGCAAACTCTTTTGTGTATCTTACTGCGTGACAAACGAGTTTGGCTTGAAGTGTATCCAACAGTAACAATGCGTCATTCGAAATGTCATTTGAAGCTATTTGGTTTTTATAAAACAGAAAGTGGCACTCCGTCTATTTGTTTTGAGACCCGGGATAAACTTTATAATTAATAATCTTTTCCAACCGATTTTGAGTAAAATCATCTATGGTGACCGACGGAATACACCTGCACCCACAACTGCATTTATTTTCTGACTCATCGAGGTGGAATGAGAAGGACAGAATCTGAATGCGATTAAATAGATCATTTTCTATCGGGAACTTTCATTTCCCCATAAATAATATTGTATATTATTATTATTATTATTTTGTATCCATTTAACTACAGATCTGGAAACTCCCGAAGGAAATCTAATGACGAGTACGTTTAGGCAGTGCAGTTTCTAACTTCTGTTGAAATTCAAGGAATTTGTCAGTTTTAGAGCCATTTGAGATTTTCAGTGAACTATTTCTTTTATAAATGTTTCCTCGTCCTAATGTTAACTGAGAAAATTTATGAAAACACGCGGTGAAACGATGAATGTATGAAAAGTTGTTGCCTTTCTTTATGCTAGCATCAATAGGCATTTAAAATTTCATAGAATTGTTGCAGTAAATTTTACCCTTCCGATGGACAATAGACCAAGAAGGTAACTTGTTCTATCAATACTTGCTTCTCTGGATAAACTCACCCAGGGCGGTGTTTTAGAAATATCATGAATTTCGTAAACCATGCAGCATTTGAAAATTGTTCAAATGAACAATCCTAAACTCCACGGATGAGCTCTAATGAGAGAGAAGCTTAGTTAGTGTGCTTCTTAGGTACATGATTCACCATAAATAAACCATGAACTGGGGGTATGCAAGTTGGGTGCCAGAAATAAAATAAAATGTTTTCAGACAACTTGCCAGGCTCGGCAAACATTCAAAATGGAATAATTCTGACTGTCATTATTGTAACTTGGGGTAATGATGACGTTGCGATCCGCAATGATGTTGCCTAGCCTACTTTTACGAATTGAGGCTGATTATCAGCAGAAGTTGTGATGCAGGAATTGGGTTGAACGAACAAGTCAAAAAGTTTTTCATCGAGCCACGGATGGAAAAAACAAAGGGACGAACCATCTCGCGACACCAAATATGGAGCTAGTCATTGTTCAACTGACCAAGGACCTTTGATTCTGCATCAGCTTATGTGAACTTGTAGTGTTCAGTACAATGTTCAGTACAAACAAAGCAAGATGTGTTAAAACGTACAGCAGAACGTTGATTGGTCTTCCATCATAAGAATACCTTTTGAATCAATTGTAGTCTCTCAATCTTGCAACATCTGGTCGACGATCAACATCGTAAACTCTCTTTAAGATTATTGTAGCAATACCAAAGAGTAAAACCATTTAGATTACGCATGAAGTCACTCAGCACAGCTGTAATCATGAGACCCACCCAGATGGTGTGATTAGCCTAATCTAGTTCAAACCTTGTTTACCACTCCGGCGGTGAAGAACTGGCCCATCTTTCTCGTCCCGCTTATAGTGACAACACATGCAGGTTCACATTTTCCGAATCCCCGTTTCAGAATGAAATGCAGTTCACGCCTTCCGTAGTCGAACAAGTTATTATGAAGGTATCGAAAATGATAGCAAATTTTATCAATATCAGACCAAGCTTGCACGTGTCTTTTGATGTGACATTTATACTCATTTCAATAAAAGATATTTGAAATAAATTCGTTCGCGTTGCTTTATTATTTCATCATAATAAACTGTTCCATTATATCGGAGCTCAATAAATGATGTCAGCTACAATATAAATTTTGCGTATATGTCATCACTTACCATAAGAACCACTTGTTGATCGAATAACTGATGAAATACCCTTCTCCCTATACAGTTGATTCGTCTATTTTTGAGATGTAACACTAATTAGGCAATGTTTTACATATGTTCTGTGTTTTTCTTTATTATACTATCATTTTGCATCACTTGTTAATCACTGCCCTTCTCATTTCTCTTGAAATTGTAGTATATCCGTCCGGCGGTAAGACTGAAATTTTATTCGTTTCTTTTTCTTGTGTACATTTGATGGAAACAAAGGCCACCAATTATGTGGATGATGAATGGTCTATATTCAGTGATTGAGCGAGAAGATCTCCTATTTTTACTGCTTATAGCTCACCAAATAGGCATTCTGCTTAGATAACACAGTTTGCCAGTCACAAACTGACAATTGATATAACTAATTATCTGGCAGGAAAGCTAAACATGTTCTCTTGTGATTCAAACTATTGAGTTCTTCATTGATTCATGTGCAAATAAATGATTATCGGATACATTTGCTAGCAAGACAGTTTACTTTCAGGTTTATCACATATCTGGCCAAGAAAACCGGATGACATTTTTTAAATTGATGCTTCTCCCGTCAGTGTTGTGTCCATCTTCTTCAGATATCATGTTGTTATGTTCAGTGCTTCAGACCACCTGAATTTCAACACATTTTATCTCTCGTTGATCAATACCAAAACTACTCAGTTCCTCGTCTTTTAAAATGTGCCTATTAGGTGAACGACGGAAAGGATCAAATCTCGTCTCAAGGGATATCTTTAAAGTAAAATCTTCCCTATCTTTCTGTGATGCATCTGATTTATGTGAAGTGAAAACCACAGGTACTGCATGAGGTCTACTGCATGACACGATAAGCTATAGGGGAATGCAATACAATACAACTTTCGTCATTGCCAAAACAACTCGAGGAAAAATATCACTGACTCCTCTCTGTTATTTTTCCCCTATGGACACAGTATCCGATGGCAAACCGCATAATCTCAGTAAGTGAAATGTACAAACACGACGCTGATCTTTTTATCGAGTCGCGTGAGCACTTTATTGTTGACTGCAACAAGACGTAAACATCTTTTTAATCAAACTGATAAGTTCTAAAACAAAAACAATGAAATGCATGAAAAAACAAACTTGTTCTCCCCGTTGGCAACAAAAATCTTATTTAAAACAAGAGGAATTTATTTGAGACAGACAAACCTTCATGAATCACTGCAATAATTATGTGTTAGGAGTTGTGGGTAAGATGCGTCCAATCCCAGACAAATCGACGCCAGCTATGATTTTCAGTGTTTTTGTAGTCGCTGGTATATGAGCGACTACAAAATGTACCGGAAGCGGTCCTTGCCGCTTGTTAGATATAATTATCCGGTTATCTAATTCACATCAGAAGTAGAAATATAGGAATAAATAAACAAATGATTAGCGAATACGCAAACCTGACGAGCGGGAAAAGCGTGAAACCATACCCCCTTTGCTAAGAATCCGAATCATGTTCAAAGTTTCGTTTGTCTGTGACTTTTTAACTAATAATATTTTCGAGTTGGAAAAGGGACATTTTCGGTGGAAATAAATGCTAATCAGAATATTATTTCAATCTCAATGTTTGATGAGTTTTTCGCAGCATGTTTTATGTTGGTTTACTTTTGTGGTGCAAGATGCTTGGCAGCCGACGACTAGGGAGTTCGAACTCCGGTGATGATACCAATTACGTATAATTGTCACGCGTGCACTCTATGGTCTTTTTTAAGGCGGATACTTTGTACCTGTCCCCATACTGATTTCCTTTGCATTCCTTCTTCCTTATCACAGAAATACTCATCAAGGGAGAACTGTTCCTGAACAAGGAACCCGCCGCTTGGGATCCCTACATGGCCATTCCGGGGTCGGAGCATAACAGTATGCTCACTGAAACCCTTTGTAATAATGTAAGTTATAAAAGGAGGTTCACTTCGTTGTCTACACCAATGTAATTGACAGTGAATTTGCGTTCCATAAACTAGTTTGAATGCAGGTATAATAATTGTATATTGATCTTAAAAAATGAAACGTGTAACCCTAAATTGAAGGACGCATGGTCATTCATTCCTCCACATTTAATAAATCTCTTACGTTCAACACCAAAATGCTCTCCAAAAACTAATCTAGCCGATCTAGTCTAGGAACTTAGCTTGCATGGGCCTAATGTATTACCCTTTGAATAATCACAATTCGAGATGTTGGGAATCAGTACCTCATTGTGTTACCTTTTTCAAGATTTTTCGATGAAATTTAGAACGTGTAAACCCTAAAGTCTTTGATGAGCTCGCTTGTTTATCATTTCCATTGAACTAATACGTTCTAAATTTATTCAAATAATGTTAATCAAAAATTTCAGTCTGCACTTGTGGATCATGGATAATCACTAAGGCTTTCGGAGAAGAAAAGGATGTAACTGCGTCCACGATCCAGCGTTCTTTAAAAACATCTTTGCGTTCCCGATAATATTTATAACATCAATAAAACACATTTGCTTGAAGAGTGTTTAGCGCAACCCACACGTTTGTTCCCGTCAACATCGCACTTGTAGGCATGACAACAAAGCATTTGTCAAACACGGACAGAACAAAATAATAATTAGGTACACGAGCCACGAAAAAATATTCAAAGAGTTTCAAATTCATTGTTCGGTATACTGAGGGAAAGTGTTCAAAAGCGTCAGTAATATGTAAAGCTTATATATGGATGGGATATATACCGTTGTACAGTTATGAAGATTAGAGATTACCAAAATTTTGTTAAAACCAAGCTCTGTCTAGGAAACAAAGAAAAGTTTTTAACACTCACGAAACAAAAACAGAGATGACAAATTCTTCGTTCAGCCTGAGCAAGATGGACTCTTCAGTTCTTCTTGCATTTTTGTTTTTGTGTGCACCAACGATGGTGATTTGTCGGTTGAACCGAGATGTGAACATTCCACGGGATTTCAGGACGCGGCACAAGAATGTTTTCATGGGATGGTTGGAAGTTTCACTCGTATTTTTATAGTTTGTAATTTCCGGGACTGTAAAACGTTTTCAAATCAACAGAAAACATTTTCAGGTAAAAGTCAGCAGGACAGACTTTATTAGTAACAGCCTGGCGAATAAACGTGAGTTGTCTTTTCTTTTCCCGTCAACTTACTTGTGACCAGCAGCCTTTGCATCTCAAATTCATTTGATGCAATCCAGTATTTTCTAAAGATGACTTATTGCTCTTATCCAACTTTAAAATATACATATGTATGAAGCATGACGAGGAAATAACGTAAAGCAGTTACTTTAAGCATTATCCTGGAATTATGTTTCTACCTAATGTTATTCAATATTTAATGTGAAATGTATGTCAGAAAATTTTGCAGTTAAATCATCTTGACTGAGTATTATTTAGACTTTATTTTCTTCAGGTAAACCGGTCATTGACACAGTCCAGAACCAATAAACAGGAAACTTCTCGTCATCATGGTTCGTTTGTATTGATTCAACGGCAGAAATTGATTGGAAATAGTAGGTCTTTTTGGAACGGGGGCCCCACCAACTGGTCAACTGTCTCTCAGAACGAATTGCGAACAAACACGGACAGATATTCGCTTTTAGCCAGAGTGTGAGTTGATTAGAACAGTATTAGTAGTAGCGGAGGTGAGATGGACTTACCATACTGTTAATTTTTATCAAGGCACTGCTGGAGACAGGTGCTGTTCGAGTGCATGGTTGAGTGGATTAAGTGAGGAATGTGAGTGGAAATTGAACTCAAATTACAATGGGTCACAACGAAGACAAGTATAATACTTCACCACCCAATTAATCGTAGATTAAAATGATTATTTACCAATTCTCTAACTGGTTGTATATTGTTCAATAAAAGTAACTTCAATTTCGTTTGTAAGAACCATTTACCATAATACATCAACGGACTTGAAATGTAATTTAAAAGCTTCATGATATGTGACATGAAGATAGTTTAATGAAAAAATGGAAGAGTAATCTGCACTACTTGGGTTGTGGAAGCAGGAAGTCGGTGGGTGGCATGAACCGGGAGACCAGGAAAGGCAACTCAAAATTGATATAATGTTTTACATGAGGAGACTTTGATTGTAATAAATTCAATTTGTTAAAATAAATGCTTTTCGACTACCGAATTCAGGGAGCGCGTAAGCTCCACTAATCAGAAACACAATAAGTAAAAGACCTGTGAAACTGAAGCGGAACAATTTATGAATAAACAATCGCAACAGAACCCACCAACAGAGAAAACCTTCAACTCAGTAAAAGATTTGTGTGGCCCCGTACCTTAGGGATCAAATCGAAGAGGACTCTAATGTAAATCCGCGATGATTTTGGATGACATAAAATATACTTGAATATGTGGCCTTACATTTGTCAAAGATGGTGCACCAAATATTTTTTCTAGATGTATTATGTGCAATTGCATTATAAAAACAGTTTAAGCCTTTGAACTTTCAGAGAACTTGGGAAATTCTTGAATCCTTCGATGGCTAATACGGTGTCTCATTGGACCAACGTTTCCAAACGAAGTGTCACCCATGGCGCATAATTGTATTTGCTTCCAACCCTTCCTGTAGCAGGATGTTTTCCCTTTTCGTTCTACTGATTATAGAATAAATTGGCCATTGAGAGGATCAACGATGTGTTCAAAGCGTGGCAATCATGTCGAGTCATGCGAACAAATCACAAGTTCACGGAGTTAGAAATCACTTTGGATCGCCGATTACTGGACCCGTCTCAATTTGTACACAAAGGGGAAAACCTTCGGAAACAAGTAGAGGACGCTGTCAAACTATACAGCTCCGACGAGGAGAATAAGTATTATTTTGGAAAGTTGAACTATGTAAAACGTACGTACGTATTCGGTTGTCATGGCAAATCTCAAAACACTTGGTGCTTTGGAAATGCAGTATTCCCATTTATTTCACAGTCCTTAAAGCCTAAGCGGTTTAACGTACACAATTCCTCAAAAATAATAATGTTCGATAACATAATTGTACGTTCGAAACATGTGTTGAATTTACACCGAGTTGTGGCGAAAGTTTTACAAATGGTTTCCAGTACTAAACGTTTTTTCCACATTATTTTCCTGTACTACTCATGAGTAACAATGCACGAAAACTAAAATTGTATAAATTTATCTGTTGCCTGATAGATGGAAACGTAAAATTTTTGCAACCAGTGGATACTGATTTGAGTGATTGTCAACTACTGATTTCTTCCTGTTTAAGCATCGTCTTCAAAACAGCTTAAATAATCAAAGATCCTTTACTTTATAATCAATTAATATGTATAATCTGACCATGAATTGCATAAGCACGTGTGTATTACACGTTCCATCAACAATCACGAACCTCACAGACTGTAAGTATTTTATCAGTAATTTGTAATTCGTAGGCACCTCCATCTAAGAAATACTGTTTTTTTGGTTTATAGTTTTTGTCACTAACGCTGGAAAAATGCTTTAAAAAATTAGACTGTCCCCGGGAAAATTATATCCCTTTTTCAGAGTAAAAAGTAAACCCGTCGGCAGCTTTAGTCTTCTGATTCAGGTATTTTTCTGACCATATTTTGAGATTGTTCTTTGCAACCAATCTTCAATTAAACCGGTAAATCATTTATTCAGGAACCAAAGAACTTATCGTTTCTTTGTTATGGCTGCTCGTGGGACCTATCCAGCAACGCGATCGAAAGCTTTATAGCTTTTGATTAGTGTTTGTATGTGTTGACACCATGCAAACCAGCTCATAAAGGAACAATCGAACCTAACTCGTGGGCACCTAATCTTTAATTGTTGTAAACCAGTTTATTCTGCTCAGTAGCAACAAACGTCTCCCGTAAAATAACGTCTTCCATGCAGAAACAATGTGGGCTAGATTTGAGTTTAAATTTATTTCAAGATTGGTGAGTATTAGCGATATGCGAAAAGTGGGGTTAATCTAAATGAATATTCACTTTCACGCAAACTTAATGACAACAAAGACGTAACAAGACAATTTGTGCGACTGCGGCTGTTTTTACTGTCATGCTATCGTGGAGAAATTGAAGTCTTCCTTTTTCCTGTTCACCTTAATGTAATGAGGAGTGGAAGGGCTTGAACCGTATAGGATATGAGAGGACTGGTACCACTCCTCCTCCTCCTCCTACTCCTACTACTACTACTAATAATAATAATAATAATAATAATACTGGTGTTTCTACTATTACTACCACTACGATGACTTATAGTGAGTGCTTCTGATATTGATAGCAATAAGACTGGTAGACGATAAATTATATCCTTATGCTGGTGAATGCGCGTAAGTTAATACAAAACCACAATGGCGTATTGTACGCTGGTAACCCAATTCAAAGATGGTACAGCTTTCCAAACGTTGAATTGGGATTCAGTGAACCACGTATGTATTAATGTGTTGGTGTTTGTTTGGTTGATTATCTAATAATTTTAAACGTAAAAATTTGTGTATAATCATTTAGATCGTTCACCTGAAAAAAACAATAATGATTCAATTAGGCTACTCTTCTCATAACTTGAAACATTAACTTATATTTATATGTTACTCACTACTTTTTGGGAATTTGGCGCAGTTTGGAGCAGTACCATACAAGTCTCGAAACTCACGTTGGTCTGTGGACTACTAACCGCGATCCAAAAAGTTCTTTTTCAAGATCAAATTTTGTGGTAAGTCGTAGCATAATCTCCAAAATGCTGATTGCATATTTTATGATACAAAAACAGGTGTTGGGTTCAGCTGAAAAGTCTTATGTTGCACTATGTCAAGGATAAATTAACCATACAAAAATCTGTTCTAGAAGAACGTTTTGGAATGCGAAGCACTGATAGCGTGTTGAATGTTACTGTGTTTCTTCCAAAGCGCTGTTCTCGTAAGTTTAGTTACATACTAGTATCTTGATATTCTCATAAGGCTTGACGGGGGCATCCAAGTCTTCCACCCATGGGGAGTAGTGCACGCGTAGTATGGGTGATTCTGTGGTAAAACTTTAACCGTAAAAATATATGCGTACTATAAAGGTTCTGAAAATTGTTTTCTTGGGCATAATTGTGTTTGAATATTTTCTCAAATGAGATATTATATCGCAGAGAGTGATAAATGAACTGCACATTTTGGATGTCTTGTATAAAGTCGTAGCGCTAAGCCCATCGTTGCCTTTTTAGGAATTTGAGCCCCGGTTGAAATGACGATCTCGCAATATTCATCAAAGTGATGGGATGTAACAAACTCGTAGGGGTGGGGAATTTTAAAAGTTATTTCTACCAAGAAACAACGACGGTTTCATCACGAAAGTAAGAGAAAATTAAAAGGAAAAATTTCATATAAAACTACTTTTTCCAGAAGATAAACGCTTCATTATTACATGCTTCTAATTGCAGAAAACGAAATATCGATGAATTGAAAAATTCATTGAAGCTCTACAGATGGATCCTTTTCTTACGATTCAATAATGTGCACAACAAGCCCAAATATATTTGCAAGTGTTTTTAAGAATACAGAATGGTCTTCCCTCGTATTTTTCTGTAATTATCAGCATTTGCTGATGAATATATTGGTATTACTGAGCATCAATATGAGAATCATGGTGCCCTAAAAGCTCTAAATTGCCGAATTCGCCTTCTGATCTCATTACTTCTTGTTAATAAGCTGATAAGCCAGTTGTCCATAAAAGAAATAACGATGAGAACATCTACATGATGGCTTCGATCGAGATACATTACGAATGATTTCTTTACTATCAAAATTTGTCGTGCAAAAACGGTCTGCTGCAACATTTTCATCATATATCTCTTATTCTAAACAAAGACCCTTT